AAAGAGGGAGCTTAAAGTAATTAATATTATAAATATTATTAAAGCTAATTACTTTAGGGAATCGCTTTTATATTTAGAAATAGTAAAGAAAGGTCTAGATAAGGCTAATAAAATAATTTAGCTCGTCGTTTACTTATTTTACTACGTATAAAATATCTCGCTTATTAAATAGCTTAATTAACGCTATAATTAACGAGTATCTAACTAGTTTCTTTTAGTTTATATAAGCCCTAGTATTATAAATATCTCGCTAAATAAATAAAGACTTTAAAAACTGCTTTTAAATAATAATATATATATTACGAGCCCGAATCTTAACTCGTTAACTTATAATTTTAATAATATCCTAAACTACTTTAATAAACTTATAATATAAAGGGTACGTAGAGGCTTTAAAGCTAGGGCCGTAATTATATTAATTATATTAAAGGTCTAGATAATAACGTAATAACTATTTATCCTCTTTTTAAGCCTCGGTAATAATTTATTATTTATAACTGTATTTATAAAACTTATACTATTAAATACTAGCGCTTTATATAGGCCTAGGCTTATTAAACCGATTATATTAAAAAGTATATTAAATAATTTAGCCTCGAGCTTTATATTTATTTTACTTTATAATATTAAATTTATTAGCTTTTATAAAGTTATTAACTCGGTTAAAGAGGGTATTATAAATTTATTTTAAATTATTAAAAATCGGTAAGTTTAGGATTTAGGTTATAAAAAGAAAAGAGGATTAGTTATTTAAAATATAATAAAAGGCTATAATTTAAAAAGATATTTCGCTTTAAGTAAAGGATAGCTATAGGGGTAAATAAAGTAATAAGTTAACTTAAAGACCCTATATTTCTTACTATTAACGGATATATTTTTATTATTAAAGTAATACCGTTATTAACTATTAATTAATTTTAATAACCTATTTAATAAACTAAAGAGTATTACTAAACTACTTTATTATAAAATAAAAGGGTTACTAAGACTATTTATTAAAAAGAGAGGGGTTATACTCTAAAAGAAGTTATAAAAGGGTAGTCCGCTAAGTTTTCGTTATACCCTTAGAAAAATAATAAATAAAGTATAATATAGGCTCTATATTAAAGTAATCGTTTATAAAAGGTCGTATATTTTATAATATATTAACTAAAAGCTTAATAATAAAGTCGCGCTACCCTTTAAAATTATTAACTTTATAAAATTAACTAACGCTAAAACGATTACTTTTTAAAAAAAAAAAAATAATAATTAGCTAGATAATAATAAAAGGCCGTAATTAATTAATAGTCACTTTTATAAAAAGGGAAGTCTTTTAATAAAAGTATTACTTTAAAATTAGCTTTAAAGAACGTCTCTAACCCTAATTATAAAAGCTATTATAAATAAATACTATAAATTAGATTTCGAGGCTTAATAATATAACCTAGGTATAAAGGGAGTAAAAAAATAAAAACTTAGGATATTTTATTAATATTTAATAGAATTTAACTATACTAATAAATTTTTTTTAAACTAATTAAAGAGTTAAATAGCGACGCCGGTATAAGAGCGACGCCGGTATATTAATTTATAACGCCGGTATATTAATTCCTTTTATAAATATAGTTTTAAAGAAGCTATTTACGATTAAGATATTATTTATTTAGCCTTTATAGCTTTAACTTTTATTAATATACTTACTATAACTAGCTAGCCGTAATAGTTTTCTTTTAATATTAATATCGTTGGCCGTCCTTGTGATGTAATCTTGGATTATTTCGCAGTTACAACCGCCGTGCTCGAGAATCTGCGTCCTTAGCGAGAGTACTTCGTTTTTGAGCGTCGTAATATATGTATAGAGATGAAGTCGGTCTTGTGTAAGCTGTCTCTCCTTTGCAGTAAGGTTGATCTCGTATTGTTTCGTCTTCTCTCGGCTTCGTTTGGCGGCAGCTCGGTTCTTGACGCGATATGGAGCCTTCTGATATGGCTTGGCATCGCTGGCACCCTCGCCCGAAACTGCATCGTTCCCTTGCCCAGTATTTCTCACTGTTGGAACACTATCACTTCCGCTGTTCGCACTGGTCTTCTTTACAGCCTGCTCCAAGGTCTGACCAGCGCAGAACCTTCGATCGGTCGGCTTGTTCGTCACTTTATGCATCTTATCTGAGGCTGGCTTTCGTCTGGGTGTTTGCTTAGAGCGAGACTGGCTTTCCGGGAGTTGCTGCCATCCTGGAGTCGTGCAAGGTGTCCCCATGGGTTGAAGCCATTGCTGGGGCAGTTCGAATGCCGTGAGCTCACCGGGTTGTACATCTCGCCGCGGATATGAGGCCCAACTTTTGGACTGCTGCACATAATCTGAGGTAGCGTAGCTCGGCGCGACGGCAACTGCGTTCCATGAGTTATGGCCGTGGAAGTCTGGAAGCCCGTTCTCCGAGCCCACTGAGGCGAGAGAGCCGCCTGAAGAGACCAACAGCTCCGTCGAAGAGGTGTTGTAGTAATTCGGGTCTGGCAAATACTGATATGCGTAACAATCATCGACGGTGGATAGGTACTGTTGTCGTAATACGGGATCCACGGTCATGGTCCCGTCGCCTTGCGGCGCAGTTGCCATCGGTATTTCGTGATACGTTGGCCGGCCGTCCATGCCAGCTGAGTTGCAGCTGTCGGGTGCCCTGTCAGCTGACTGAGATCTAATTCGAAGGGGGAAAGGTAAGAGTACGAGGATTTACGATTCTTAACCGTCGATCCTTGAAAGGCTTGGCGCGTACGTTGGCTGATTTGACGTCGTGAGCTTGTTGCAAGTGAATCTCTGCTCCTGAGACCCACTCGCTTCGAGTCTAACAACCCTACTAAGCCATACGTTTGTTAGCTACGTCAGTACTGTAGAAAAGTACTGATGAAAGCGATAGCTTCTGGGTCCGGGAAGTGTGGACATGGCCATACCTTGGAACGGTATACAATCCCAGTGTCAGCGGGAAAAGGGTCAATATACGAGCGGATAGTTGTCAATTTCACAATGTGGTGTCGAGTGATTGGGTTACAACAGACTATTTGAGCCGGCTCTCGATGGAACTGCTAGCTTGCAGCTGAGATGAGGGGGGAAGCGCTGCGACTACAGAAGTCAAAGCGATTGGCCTGGCACTGTCACCTTTCTGAGACTGAGAAGGCGGCATTCGAGGAGCTCCGCGAGATGGAGGGGAGAAGACTCATGTCTTCGTCTAGGAAGCATTGTACACACCATTTTGCCAGTCAGAGGTCCGTGCCGCATTGCCTACTGTCTACACGGCAGACAGGACGCCGTGGCTTGCATACAGCCCGACAGCTTTGTCGTAAGATTTTGAGAGGTTGACCTGGCAAGTTGTCTTGATTGGAGCCTGATGAGTCGCAATGAGACTTGTGATTAACGGCAGGGATGGCTACAGTTGCTTTACAATCCTACCACGATGTTCAACCCCCTGCTACTACCAGTTAAGGGCAGTTATCCAGGACCTGTTTGCAGTATTATCAGGGCCTTGAGAAGTGACAGACACGGATATCCTAAGGTCTCGATAGAAAATCCTCCCTATGCCCAGTTACCTCGCAAAAGCTTTTATCTCGTTCCCTTGGTAGGTACTTCAAAAATTACCTGGTTAGGAACACACCGGGCTGGCGTGCTATGCGGACACCTGTCCCGGGAGTGCACTTGTTCGCGCATTGAATTGGCCAGAGGATGGGCTTCGCTAGACATGGCCCAGACAGCCCACATGAAGTCACTACTACAACAGAGATATCTTTCTAGTAGTGTATTGGCGATGAAGATACAGCCAGTCCAGAACAAGTACTTTGAACAGCAAAAGCCGACACCCACGCTTAAATCCATGTCACCCCTTCTTACACCGCAAACCATCGACTACCCTACCCGAATTACCGTCATTGCTTTTGATCACAGGCAAATGTTCCGGGTGAGATACTGCATTGGGGATCTCCAGGGATATCTGCACTGCAACAGCGCCGCGTTGTAACACAGGCGACAAGGCGATATGAGGACACAGTATGTTAAAGTCACACATCTTTAACACCAGTTGGCGCACACATGGTAGAAGTGCACACGATCGGGATTACTTGCCAATATCGGCGTGATTTTTCTGCAGGTGGACGTTGGCTTTTAGGGATGTGCCAACCATCGCCCCGGGACATGGCAAGTGGGTGCGATCGCGTCGGCTGTGTGAGGGGCTGATTGACAATTGACAGCCAATCGATCTTAACTCCTAGGTTCCACTGCAGATACCTTGTCATCCGCGTGGGCCCATTGGCAAGGTCGATATTGGCATGACAATCTCCGCGCTTGAGTCCTACAGACAGTGGACGCGCATTCCCCTGCTTCCCTTGCATGCTGGTCTCGTGTGATGCAGACAGCTATGCGAAAGATATCCTGATGCGGCCGTGATTCTGTGAACATGGGTACATGCAAATGTGGAAATGGGATTTGCTGACATTGGGAGTAGCAGTGTATACTTCATGGTTCATGCTCTGGTCCAGTGCCCAACGGCCAGCGTCAAGGCCTGCAAAGCCTCGACAGTTTGGGAGCTGCGTAGACTCCGTGCCGGAACCCCGTCTCTGATGTGTATTCGGATCAAGAAAGCAAAGCCTAACCTGAAGCTGGATGAGACGCTTGTATAGGCGCCATAAAAGCTACCTTATTCAAAGAGACCAAGAACTGCGCGGCTGCGTGTGATCGGTGAACCCCGCCAGGAGATCAACATTCCAGTGCCACACCGAGCCAACAGGTCAGCAAAAACCCCCTCAAAAACCTCTCTAGGTAGCGTGCCTAGACCGTTAGCGTGTACTGCTTGTATCGCCTCACACCCTTACGGAGTAGCCTGATCTTCATACCCCGCAGTGGCGTGAGGGTGTTGTGCTCTCAACTCTAACATGCTCGATAGTGAACGTGGACGTGAACGAAAGGCTAACCAATGACAACTTTGCGGCTATAGTCCCCATTGATAGGCGATTTGTTGCCCCATTCAGCTCTTTGTATACTAACAATAATGGCCTTGGGAGCCTCTATCAGAATTCCGGACTATAAAGCCCATGTACAGCATCTAGTCATTACAAAACCGGAGCTTACAGCGGCGTGTCATTGCCAAGACCTCGGACTCTTCGCCTCGACCGAAAGGTTTTGGTTGCAAACTTCCGAGGTGACTGCCCCGTCGTGCTGACTTTCGGTTACGTCGCGCGCTAACCAACCCATGCCCTGCTCTTTAATACCGATAGCCGGATGCAGAATGAGGCACACGCGGATGTCCCACCCGGTTAGAGATTCCAAGGGTATTTGGACTACTTGACCTATCGCTGTGCCTCATTCCCGTGTAGAAATCCCAGAATTCCTAGCATTACGGCGGAATTCGTTAGCTATAGAGCGCAACCAAGAGATGAAAAGAAATTTCGCAAGGCAACCGCTGATCTGTTGACCGTAAATGACGATTCTCATATTATACGAGATCGAGAGCATAAATACGAGTGAGAAGTACGTAGGCGATATGTTTAAGCGGCGCTTAAGAGGCCCCTCACCTGAGAAAAGAATGATGGCGCCCCATATCCCAAGCGCCTGCGTGTCTCGCGCTCCATGGCAATTGAGTTCTGTTAGGTGATTAGACTCTCAGCCCTTTTCGTTGGTTTTCCAATGTCTACTGACACATGTCAAGGTTCAAAGCTGACAGAGACAGCTGAATGTGAATCGCGGGGCTGTTGTCAATCAGCTTGTGTCAGTCGAGCCCAGGTTCCAAGGCAGGAATCAGGATGAGCCTACGGGATCGCCACATCGATGGGGGAATTCTCGCCTCCATTCCATTCCTTCCTCTTCTCACTTGGTATCGTTCTAGTGAGGAGATGAGCGGAATGCTACTGCCGGCATCCCCTCAGAATCCCCCCTTCCTTGTGTTTTCTTCTTACTCCTGCATCCCTTCAGGGGTTCCGACCCATTCTAGACCATTTTGCTACCATCACGAGTGCAAAGTCTGGTTGTTGCATCGATGGACGTCGGCACGCCATAATGCAGGTGGCAGGACTTATGTATCAGTCCATGTCGGGCGCAAAGTAATAATAATAACATGCATATCCGAGCAAGGGTTCTACCCTATCGCTGCCACTGAGGCGATCTCCAGCGTACCCAGCATCCTCCTACCTATTGAAGAGCAATCCCCGATCCGAGGTCGCGTCAGGGATCTATGTACAGGGGTCTCAGCTGTAGCTCATCCAAGCCCACGCATTGAAATGGCGGTTTCCTGCCCAACAGCCCAGGCCAGTTGGGAGAGAGGGGACACTAGTTAGTTACAGGGAGATTTGGGTTACTAGCGGCACGTCCCGCAGTCTCATTACGACTCGGGGAAGACACTAGTAGTCGGATATTGAGAGGTACGTGCTTCCTCCTCATGTGCCGGGGAGCACGTCAGTTATCGTCGAGCGGATCGAGGGATGACAAGCCCAGTTGCACAATCATAAACAGGGCCCAGTGCCCAAGCTAACGTGATACTGGGTCCGACGACAAGCGCACAGAAGCCTAAAGGCACGTCGCAGCAACATCACTGATAACAAGAGAAGTTAGGCTCGGGTACAGTCTCAATTTTGTTGGGGGAGGGCTCATGCACCTGCCAGACGTTAGTCGCAAAAGTGTCGTGGAAGTTACAGACATACAGAGAAGGAATTGAATCGCTTTTGGGAGAACCCAAGATTGGATTTCACCAAGTTGAAAAAGAGGAGATGCACTGGCACATGGTGTCGCAAAAGCGAACGCTGTGCTATAGTAGGCTACAGAGGTCGCTCCTACAAAAACCCCAAATTCCTTGCAAAAAATTCTGAATCAGGTTGACATGCTAGTCGATTAGCCCCGTGGTATATCCACCTTTGTACCTTAGGTCTGTTTTCTTGATTTTCAGAACGAGGACGATACTTTTTACAGTAGCGAGTCTGCTGCGAACCAGGCGGCTACGCAACCTGACAGTCGACGCGTTCCGGACGTTGATCCGTAGCATCCCGATTCGCCAATGTAAAACGCTAGCCAGCTGTCTCCAAGACTCCCGTCTGGCTCCCCACATGTACTTCGCGGTTCTTTGCCCTGCGGGGGGGTCAATTTGCACCGCCGATCGCCAGAAGCATGCCTCAAAGCAATCCGCCAAAAGCAATCATGTTCCGACCCAACATGCATGACCAAGACCAGGGCTTGCCCCGCAGGCACTTAGCGCCTACAGCGCCTTATGATTGATTGATTGATTGATTGATTGATTGATTGATCTTATCCTACTCATTCATCAGCCGCTATTATGTCAGCAGCTATGCCCGGATAGCGGGATTTAGCTCACAGCCGACGCGTTCTAGACGTTAATCTAGAGCGCCCTACTTCACTAAATCAAAATATTAACTAGCTATCTTTAAGTTTCTTTTTTTTTCTACTTATAGTACTTACTTAGTATAATATACGATTTTTTATTGATAAAAATTATTATTTAAGCTTTATTAAAATTGCATATTTTATTTAATAATTTAGTATACTTATAATCTTAAATTAATACTGAGTTTTGATGGAATTATTTAAATTATAACTCGATTATAATTTACTTAAGAATTATAGTTTATTTAGTAAATCAATAAATTACTTTGAATGTTATTTTATATTTATTTAATATAACTTAAAAGAAGTTTACTTGAAAAAAGTTTTAATTTTTATAAAATAAGAGTTATAAGAAATAAATATTATAATAATATAGTATATAGTAAAGTTTAGTGTTTTATTTAATAAAGGTAACTAGCGCTAAAAATATTTAATAATCTTTAAATAAAAAGAAATTCTAAAGTTTAAGATATAATTAAACTTATAATATACGTTATTATTTATTATCGTTTTAATGAAATTTAATTTTTCTATTTAATTAGCTCTAACTTTTAAAAAATAAATTACGTTTGAGCTTTAAAAGCTAATTTATTATAACTAGTACAGTTATATTACGACCTAATATATATAACTAAATTAAAAGCTAACTAACTAACCTACGGCGGCTACGGTATATTATATATATAAATAAAATAGAAAGTATTTACTCCTCGTAAAATAGAAAAACTATAAGATAAGTTACGTAAAAATAAAATAAATTAAAAAATTGTTTTAAATTAAAATAATTTAATATAATTTAGGGGATAAATAATTATTATAGATTAAATTAATCGAGAATAATTTAAAAAATAAAAGATATATTTAAAAACGAGACTTATATATAATATAGACTTAAACCGGGCTTAAAAATAGACTTTTTATAGCTTTTTTAATAATTAATTTAATATTAAATTTTATAATTACTTTTAGTTATTTTTATTAAAAACCCTTTTGAATAAAACTATAATTAATTATTAAAGTTTTATTTATTTTATAATTTATAGATATAGCTTTAAAAAAGCTATTTATAACTATAATACTATTTATTTAGCCTCTATAGCCTTAATTTCTATTAATATACTTATTATAATTAGCTAGCCGCAATAGATTATTTATATAATTATATTTTAGTTATAAATTTAAGCTTAATAGAAAAAAAAATAGTATATTTAATTATATTACTATCCGTTTTATTATTATATTATATTTTCTTAAATTTTAAAATCTTTTATTTATTATTTTATTTAAGTTTTAAAAGCTCTTAAGTAGATAATAATTGGATTATAAAAATATATTTTATAAAACAATAATAATAACTATTAAATAGAATTTGCTTTATTAAAGAAATACTTTTATATTTATTTAATAAGTTATTTATTTAGGGAAAATAGCTTATTTATTTTAAAAGTATAATTCTTTTTTATATATAAATAACTATATTAAATATTACGATTTAATATATATAATAAAGCCTGGGCCTGCTCTATAGGACTTATAGTACTTACTATACTATATATATAAAAGTATAGACTAAAAATAACTTCTTTTAAAATAAAAAAAACTATAAATAAATTATATAATTATTACTATATAATAAAATAAAGAACGGATATTTATAAATAAATAGGATAGATAATTATAAAATATTAAAACGGACGACTATTTAATAAACTATTAAATAATAATAATTAAAAATATTATAAAGAATATATTTAAAAACGATATTTATATATATTATATAAATTTAAATTAGATATAAAAATAGACTTATTATATGATTGAGCGTAAGTCTATCCTATCACTGAGGGCGCGGGCATTCCCTTACTAACATAGTTTCTCCATACAGCGGACGAAGCTGTTGAGGACAGTGTCCAACTCGCTGTTTTCTATTTCGTTCATGGCGATGGGCGGTGATGAGTTTGGTGTCTTGGAAAGCAGTCACAGCTCAGTACGTACGTTTTCCCGTTGAGGCCCAGACAGAAACCGGAGTGCTAATGATCTACTCACAGACTTGGATGCTTTTATGCTTCTCGAGGAGAGGCTTTCAAGGGACTCATAATCTGGGCCGCTGGACAACAACGATTACAACGGCGACAACAACCTTGACGAACCTTCCGTCTCCAGACAGTTCTACAAACGCTCTGCCGCATCTGCACGCCCCACGGCTCAAGGATTGCTCGCCGAGCTAGCCAAGAAGCACTCTCGCTTCTGACCAGTCCTGGAGCGGATTCAACGGCACGACTGGTTGGCACGGGATATATTGTACGATCGTCACGGGCCCTACGGCGAGGCGTCCTCATCGTACCGCGAGCTTTGCCGCGATCTCCTCCAAGCCGCGTCTCGTCTGAATCCAGAGGACTCTCTTCATCTCATCTGGTGCCGCCGCATGGGCGTCTCCGAGAATCGCATACCGGGCGGGAAGCTCCGCTCGAACCGCATCATGCGCTGCTCGGTCAGGGAGTGGGATATCCCCACGGCGGCGGCCGACCTGGAGGAGCTATCGTCGTGGATCACTGAGGAGAAGCGCTTGCTCTCATCCATCCGCCACGGATCCGATGGCTCAGTCTACCGCTTCTCGGCCGCCGCGTCGTCCATCCGCTATCTAGAGTCCATCCCCGCCGCCATGCGCGCGCAGCTCCGCAAGATTGTCCTCGTGGAAGACTATCGCTCCGTGACGCATCCGGAGAGCCACGCCCGAGGCCTGATCCCTTTCTGCCGGGAGAACCCCCTCCTGCAGTTCGAACGTTGCGTGAACCTGTGGCGGGACCTCTTCCAGGTGGACAAGAGGTGGCACACGCCCCACCAGCAGTGTGAGCATCAGAACCGGGCAGTGCGAAGCCGCGTGGCAGCGGGCGTGGACTGAGTCCATGGACCGGGGCCTCGTGCTCGTCCACCCGGTGCTGGACTGATTCGAGAGGCGGGGCGAGGACGCGGGTAGGGCGGGCGTGCATCCCGTCTCCGGGGTGTACAAGTCGTACCTGGGGTACTTTTACGAGGGCCTCCCCGAGGCGATGCGGGATACCGCGCGCGGCGGCCTTCCGTCGTACGGTGTAATTTTGACGCCGGCGAGCCGTGGGACGCCGAGAAGGTTGTGCGCGCCAATAAGATGTGGACGCTGGCGCAGTGGAACGAGGGGTGGTTGCGGCACGAGCAGCTGTTTTGGGAGACGGAGGCGCCGTTGCCGGAGTGGCCGGCGCTGCTAATGGAGAACATGATTGGTTTCCTTTGCCGGACGTAAGAAGAAGAGCTGGAGGGGCCGTTGATGAGGCCGGTCCATTCCGGAGTCTCTCCAGGGGACGGGGGGGCGGTCGCACTCTTTTATTGAACGATGAAGTTATAACTTGGACTTTGGGTCTATAATTACTCATCTGGGTTCTAACGATGCTACGCCGCGGCTCGGCGTACGGTACACGGTCTGGATATCAATGTTGGCAAGACATCTCAGAGATGGTGGAATTTTTACTTGCTACTTATCTATATCCCCCCCTCCCCGTCGCCATCCTCATCAGTACTCCTTCGCGGGATATACTACTGTTCGTGATGCAGTATATCGCAACGCTCTCTTCAGCTCCCTTTCGGACGGGATGCGCTGGAATTCTTTTGTTTTTCTAACTGATTTGAGGTACTCTTCTCCGCGGTGCCGTTGTGCTTCTTCGCGTCGCCTGGATGGTGACTACATTACGTACCACAGTGCCTAAATAACTTACCTCAACCTACCCTTGTAGGTGGTGGTGCCTGGTGCACTATGAGGAGTCGCCGTTTCGCTTTTTTTTGCCTAGTGCGCGATGTACGTTGGCAAGTAAACGCAGACACGCGAGTGAGGTAAGGTAAGGAGACACGGGCCGTGTTCGGGCGCCGGGGACGGGGCTTGGTGAGATATGTTCGGGGGTCACCCAGTGTCCCACACACACCGCGGGTCCGTTCCGTCAGCCGGGGCGGGGCGGGTGCGGTTGTATGGTGGGGTGGTGTCAGGGTTTCATGGGGCCTTCTACCTTACTGTGTACCTTATGCGATTCCGTGTCATTTTTACTGGCCTGCGCTTGAGATCAAGGGACTTTGACGATTTCTGGTGCTGGTGGGGTGGTCTGATGTAGCCAGCTAAGACGGTGTCCTTTGACCCGGTTCTTCAAGTCCCCCATGAACCATTTGTTTTTCCATTCGCAACTTTGAGCCGCCAGAGTGAGTCCGTAGTGGGCCTGTTGGCGGCTGCTGACTAGCAGTACCGCCTCATGTCTCATGTTGCTAAGTTGATGCTTTACAAGGGCTGCAATACGTTGGACAACAAAGAAGGACGATGAGGAGAATAATGGAAGAAGAGGGAGTAGACAGGAAAGACATGAAACTTTTGATTCTCAACGTGTGTTACTCATGGAATGGAAACCCCTCGGCTTGGTGGTTGCCTTTGACTTCTAGTCCTTGAAGCCCAGAAAGTTCACTGCAGAGAGGAAAGATAAAATGATTACTAAATTCTTAATCTGAAGGGAATCACTTTGGGTGTGTATTTTAGGGCTAGATGGGGACACAGATTTACTCCCCTGGAACCGATCGCATACCCCGGGTCCGTCTGTCGTCATTCGGTAGTTCACGTCAATCGTCAGTACTGCAAACAGAGTTTGACTACCAAGGCATGAGATGGAGCCCCATCCCCAAGAGCCGGCGGGATGGTCGCCGAGATGCCAATCTAGGTGATAAGAAATACAAAGAGTTCATCGCAAAGAACCCTCATCCAGTCCCTCTCTTCCTCTGACTCAACACACAGTAGACTTGGCCATCACGGCAGAAGGGAACTCCAGAAAACCAACACAATCCGCGGATATCCAAAAATCCGTTGACAAATTTCGCAGCTCGGTACTCTCAGACGTCCGAGTTTTTTCCCAATACGGTAGTCCTCATGACTAGCCAGCCGGAGAATCTGACCCCACAACGCCCGATGATTCCGGGTCTCGGCGGGGCTGCGGTGGTGGGGCTGACGTTCCGAAAATTCGACAACTCCGCGGACCACCCCGGCCTCCCCCTTCCGCGGCGTTCTCGATCAGTTAGCCTCCCGCCCGCCCGCCTGTCCACCTGGCTCGCCTTGTAGAAAGCATGGTTCGTGCATCTTTTCGAATCCTTGCAAGCCATATGTGTTTAACATGCACGTTGTGACGTTGACATCAATGTAGACCTCACATGCAGCACCATGCTCTGCCTTCCCCCCCTGCAATGCGTCGACCAACCGGGTTGTCCGTATTACACGCTTTGGGCTGACGTCGGGGAGTGTCGCTCGCGATCAGACCACACTGCTCGTCATTCACGACTTTGATGGAGAGGGTCGGGATCATGAAGGGAGGTTTACTGCTCAACTGGGGACGAAAGACAGAAACAAGGAAATACATCCAAGAACTAGAATTTGGAATCGTATGGATCAATGAGAACAAGATGCAGCAAGCCCAGTCAAGAACGCAAGTATAAATACAAAAGAGTATCAACTCTCTCACAGATTTTTCACAACACTCGTGCTCTACACACAGACAAGACAAACCACTCATGTTCTCAACCTCGTTTCCTCGTCTATCTCCAACAGCGACAAAGCTCCGACGCTACTCTTCACATCATTTCCTCTCCACCCAGAAAGCAATGACGACAACCACGCCCCCAAGCTTCCCCTTCCAACGCGCTTCGGGGCTCGAACCGCCCGCAGAATACGCCCGCCTCCGCGCCACGGAACCCGTCTCGCAAGTGAAGCTCTTTGACGGCTCCCTCGCATGGCTCGCGACGAAGTACAAAGACGTCTGCGCCGTCGCCACGGATACGCGTCTCTCCAAGGTACAGTCTCGTATATCTCTATCAGCTTTTCATCCTTCCACTTCTCCTTTCCACACGTCGATGTGGACATCAAGCATCGTCGAAGGGGAGCTAACACCATGGAAACAGGAGCGCACCCGCGCAGGGTTCCCCGAGCTCAGCGCCGGCGGGAAAGCGGCGGCGGCGAACAAGCCCACCTTTGTCGACATGGACGCGCCGGCGCACATGCAGCAGCGCGGCATGGTTGAGCCGCTTTTTGTGCGGGAGCACATTGCGTCCATGAAGCCGTATATCCAAAAGACTGTGGACGATCTCTTGGATAAGATGGTTGAGCAGGGGTGCGACGAGCCGGTTGACTTGATTGATAAATTTGCCTTGCCTGTTCCGTCATATGTGAGTGTTCTTGTCACCTTATTGAGACCTGGGATCAGGGAGGAGAGCAGAACAGAGCAAGTTGTTGAAGATACTGAATGTTCCTGCTGACTGCCCTTTCTAAGATTATTTACACTATTCTTGGCGTCCCTTTCGAGGACCTCGAGTACCTCACCCAACAAAATGCCATCCGGACGAACGGCAGCGGTACCGCATCGCAAGCTCAGTCTGCAAACCAGTGCGTCCAGCTTCACGCTCCCCCGCCGCCCCCTTTTCCGATTCCCATGCCACGTTGACAGTGATGACTGACTCTGCTCGTTAACCAGAGAACTCCTCAACTACCTCGCCAAACTAGTCGACCAGCGCAACATTGAGCCCAAGGACGACCTCATTAGCAAGTTGGTCGTGGAACAGCTCAGATCTGGTCACATTGAGAAGTCGGATGCCGTGCAAATTGCCTTCTTGCTGCTCGTTGCTGGTAATGCGACGATGGTGAACATGATTGCGTTGGTGAGTCGCCCGTCTCTTCCCGTCCTCCCGTCTTGACTTTTTGAGAGTCTATTATTCTTGGAGCGAACACGCGTGTTGTAGTCCACGATTCAACTAACACCCAGTGCCTCAGGGAGTCATCGAACTCTTCCGGAACCCAGCTCAACTCGCCCAACTGAAGGCCGACCCGTCGCTCGCCCTGGCCTTCGTCGAAGAGCTGTGCAGGTACCACACCGGCTCCGCCATGGCGATGAAGCGGGTGGCCAAGGAGGACATTGTACTCGGTGGCAAGGCAAGTACCACATTCGGCTACCTAAGTCTTTTTGCCAGGTCCTTACGGGTTTTGGAAAGGAAGAGGCTGACCATTTCACGTAGACCATCAAGGCGGGCGAGGGCATCATCGCCTCAAACCAATCCGGCAACCGAGACGAGGACGTCTTCCCTGACCCGAACGTCTTTGACATGCACCGGGCCCCGGACCCGAACCACGCGCTGGGGTTCGGCTTTGGGCCGCATAGGTGTATTGCCGAGCCGCTTGCGCGCGCGGAGCTCGAGACAGTCTTTGGTGAGCCTCTACTTCTCTTATCGCCATTCATATCCTACAGGTTCTTATGGCCGTACATGGTACTTGAGCATGGTGCATAGAAATAAACTTTCCCGTTTACGACTCATTCCTCATCTCCATCCCTCAGACTCTTCCAGCTACACCGAGCTAATACATCCTATCACAGCAACGCTGTTCCAGAAGCTCCCCAGCCTGAGAATCGCCGTGCCCATCCCGGATATCGAGTATACGCCCCTGCACAAGGATGTCGGAGTAGTCAAGTTACCAGTGGCATGGTGAGCAGTGACGTGGATGACAACATTATTGGAGGGAATTCAAAACGGGGGTGGGCGGCGTAGGTTAGACGGTGTTAAGGCCACAAGCCGAAATCGCCTTCGATCGAACCTTTTCGTAGAAAGCTCGGTAGTTTGAAATATCACATCTCTTCTCTTCTCTGAGACTTAGCAAGAAGCTCCTTCCATGTGAAATCGAGGTGAAAGCGGGGAGTTTGAAAGCCAAGACATCAGACGATCGGGAGGGAGGGGGCAAAGCAAAGTTCACCAGTTCGCAAAGAGGCGAGCACGATCCGGGTGCGCCGGTGAAACGCGGCAATAAGTAAAGTAACGGCCACCGTCGTCCCAATGTTGAAGCTTGACGGAGCCGAATTCGGCGAATTTGGATTTTAGAGTGAGTAATTGCGAGAGGTTTTGAGTTGCGAGATTGCCGTCGGGATGGTAAGCTGTGCTCCTTAAAAGGAGCTGCCTGACACGAGAGGTGGGAATGGTGCCTATGTCAAGTGCTGCTTGAGCAATATATCTTGATTATAACACTACTACTACTACTTCACAAGCTATGAACGAAATGCAAGTCGCAAACAGCCAAATCGTCGTGGGAGACAGGAGCAAGGCGGCTCCATGGTACTCCGTCGAGGCCCAAATCTCCGCCGAGGCGCGCAAGATGCTCGAGGAGTACGCCGGTATCCCGCCAGCCGAAGTCAGAGACCACGTCGTCGCCATGGTATGTCTTCTCTTTCTCTCCCTTTCCCTTCCCTCTGCCCCTTGGCCCCTTCTCACAGCACAAGACATGCTGGGACATTGCTTGATACTCACATAATGCCATCCACAGCGCGACAAGATCTGGGAAGTCTTCCCCTACCCCTGCATCGGCGAATTCCACTTCCTGGACTTCAACCTCGCCCACCGCCCAGGCTACCCGCAGCTCCTCGCCCGCCTCCAGGACAACCCGTCCGCGCGGCACCTCGACATCGCCTGCTGCGTCGGCCAGGATCTCCGGCGCCTCGTCCACGACGGCGTCGCCTCGTCCAAGATCGTCGCCGTCGAGCTGGAGCAGGGCTACATCGACGCCGGGTACGAGCTCTTCCGCGACCGGGGCAGGCTCGAGACGCGCTTCGTCAACGCGGACATGCTGGACGACGGGGACGCGCGGCTGAACGCCATGGAGGGGACGTTTGACACCGCGCACCTGGGCCTGTGTCTGCATTTGTGGACGCGGGAGCAGCAGATGGTTGTGCTGAGGCGGGTCATTCGGTTGTTAAAGAAGGAGCCTGGGGTGATGATTGTGGGACATGCTGCTGGTCATGCTGATGGGATTGAGTTGAAGGGGGTTTGGGATAAACCTGCGTTGAGGCATAACTTGGAGACGTGGGAGAAGATGTGGGCTGAATTGTCGGAGCAGACTGGGAGTAAGTGGAAGCTTAACACGGTCGTCTCTGAGCAGATTGGGACTCGAGGGATTGAGAGGCCCAGCTGGTGGGGAAGCGACATGAGATTTGTCGGCTTCGAGCTTACAAGAGAGTAGATAGATGTCGCAAGTCTCAACAGGCGAATCAAACACTAGAACATGTGGCACGTATTGCAGGGAGCGAGAGAACAGTGTCATGAGGCATTTCCTTTGCTAGCCTAGGGCCATGGCCCGATTCCCATAGATGAACATCATCATAAAGCCCAATCCGGTTCCCAAACCATGCCTGAAAGGAGAACTTTTTCATCCACTGCTCGTCATTGCAAACACCTGAAACACCGAGTACCCGAGTAGAGAAACAACTCTTTAGGCCTTGGGGGTGTTGGGGACGATCTTCTTGCCATCCTTGTTGTAGCGGACGCGGGGAGGGGGAGCACGGTTGCGGCGGCCCACGACGGAACGGACACTGGGAGAACAAGTCAGCATTGAGAGGTCTTTCACAAGGCCCGAGAGCAACCGTCAGGTCGGTAATCAACCTCCCGCAGACGGGGAGGGACTGCGTCGCCGAGGTGCAGGGCACGGGGGATATGGGAGCTTCGAGTAGCGCCAAGGTTCTTCTGTAGCGCCTGCGCGCCGCGGTCATGGTGTGAACCAGACCAACGGTTTGCAGTCGTCGCTCCCGCGGACGAACGTACCGGACAATCTTGCCGTGAATGGCGCAAGAGACACAGTACTGCAGCTTCAGGTACATCTTGGGTACGGTGTACTCCGCGAAGACGGAGGCGTCAGAGATATCACCTGATACTTGTTAGTCTTGTATGCATGGTGAGAGAAGGAAGGAGTAGGGCATACGGATGGCAGCAGACTCGACCATGTTGCGGATGGTGAAGCGCTTGATCGCCTTATCCTTGGGCGTGCATCGCGAGCAGTTGCTGCAGCGGATGGGCTTGACGTGGCCGCGGCCCTTCTTGTTGCGTCCGCTGTAGGAGGGGAAACCAAGTCAGTAATCGTGCTCGTTGAGGGGTATCATTGCACATGTGCCATTCTGGACCCTCAGTCGCCGGCGTCGTCGAACAGGTTCATGATATCGGGATACCGTTGTCGACGGCCGGGACGTGAGGGTAGAGAGGCACCAGTGAAGCGCGGTGTATGGGGCGGATGAGGAGGGTATCGTCGTACTTGTTCTTTCTCTTCTTGACCATTTTGGCGACGTCTGACTGTGTGTTAGTAGATCCGTGAAGAAGAGGAAAAAAGAGAAGAGGGAAAAGGGGTATATCAATTGCGAGGAGACGTACTTGATCTTTTCTGGCTTGCTGAGTCAAAAAATCGCAATTGGTGGGTTCGACCAGGGCGCGAATTGGTTTTGACGTGCCTTGGAAAGGGTGGTGGAGGCTGCGTGCGAGTGAGGGCTGGTCCAGGGCTGGAGAGTGCGGTACGGAGAACTGGTGCTTGTGGACCCACTTCTGGAAAAATCCCACTCTGGAATTTTAGGCGAGGATGCACTTTACGCGGGCAGGTCGTCTCAGGCCTGCAGTACGTATCGTATTTCGCACCACACATTCGATTTCCAGACCTGATATTTGGCCAATTAAATCTCACAAAGATCACGTGGACTCGCTAGTTTTCCAGGTCTCGCAAACCCCCCCACCCGGTCCACCCAGCGCCTGCGCAGGACGGATTTACCGTGCGCTGCGACAGACGGCAGTCGTTTCCTTTTAATTTTCCCTCATCCCCAACTCGAACCCATCTGAGGATCTGCTTAGGAAGGCAATAGACATATTGTCGAGGTACGTCTGAAGATGCTTCTGCTCCCTCTTTGTTGGCCTTGAGCCCGTTACACCTCTTCTTCTCCCTTCGTTTTCCGGCATTTCGTCTTTCGACGAGTTGTGGACTCCTTTTCCGCTGTCGCCTGCCACTCGAATCTCGCAAGGCGCAATCGCGAAATCGACAGCGTCTTTCGAGAGTCATCGAGAGGGCGCAATGGAAGGGGTCAGAGTCTTTTGGCAGGGTTGAACGACGTGCGAGCGAGCCCGTCGAGCCTGTAAAATTGCTTCGCCGAATGCTTAATCGCCGCCGCCACCCACCAAAGCCATTCGACATCCAACTCTGCCGGAAACGAAAGGAGAAGAGGAGGAGCATCGAGGGAGACGGACAGCAATCTTTGCTATCCACCCAGACCTTCGAGGCATCTGATTCTAACATTCCGTGACAAGTAGGCAATCATGCAGATCTTCGTCAAGACCCTGACGGGCAAGACTATCACCCTTGAGGTGGAGTCGTCCGACACCATCGACAATGTCAAGTCCAAGATCCAGGACAAGGAGGGCATCCCCCCCGACCAGCAGCGCCTGATCTTCGCCGGAAAGCAGCTCGAGGACGGCCGCACCCTGTCCGACTACAACATCCAGAAGGAGTCCACCCTCCACCTGGTCCTGCGCCTGCGTGGTGGTATGGCCAAGAAGCGCAAGAAGAAGGTCTACACCACCCCCAAGAAGATCAAGCACAAGCGCAAGAAGACCAAGTTGGCTGTCCTCAAGTACTACAAGGTCGACTCTGATGGCAAGATCGAGCGCCTTCGCCGCGAGTGCCCCTCCGACACCGTACGTTCCCTCTTTGATCTTTTCACACATTGGTTCCTAATACTAACTCGCTTCCAGTGCGGTGCCGGTGTTTTCATGGCCGCCATGAACGACCGCCAGTACTGCGGCCGCTGCCACCTCACCTACGTCTTCGACAAGAAGGAGTAAACTTTCTCTCTTGTTTCACGGGCGCGAGGTTACGGAAAACAAAAAGCGACAGTTCTGGGAGGATCGGTTCAGGGTTAGCATTCTAGTCGGCAGAAAGCCGCACACAAAACGGGGGCGTTGATGTACACATCACTGGCTGGCAATGACGATGCAATTTCATGACACTATGACCATTCTCTCACTCTTTACTTTCCATCATGATCTGTGACGCGAATTGATGTTGCAATGTATAACTGTTGTGATGTCTGTAACCCTTTTGATTCGTGACTTGTTCTACCTATCGACACCTCAACCTGCGAATCCGTTCCGCAAATTGTCGTACTTGGTCTCGGGATACGTCAGACAGTTATCCCGCCGCAGCAATCCATGCGGACCACCAAACGTATGAACGACGTTCCCAATCAGCGACTCGTGCCCAGGCTTATCAGCACTGCTCTCCCACCACATGGCACCACCCAGACCCCATCCCCGAACATACTCAGCCTTCTTCCTTGCCATGTGCACCGTATCATACGTAACCATCTTCCTCTTCCCTGCATCATACGAGTAACTCGCACCCGTCTCCTCGTCATGATACTCTTGCGCGCCAGGCATCGGCAACACCTTGTAATCAAACACGCCATTCTCCCAGCTCCCCTCCCCAACACCAGAATACGGCGTGCCAGGACCGTCAGTATTTTCGAAGGCGCGGCCGTACAGCGGCATCCCCAGAACAATCTTGTCCGGGGACACGCCGTGGGAGGTGTAGTGCGCCAAGGCAGCGGCGGTGCTGAACGGCGTCGAGCGCGGGTTCTGCCGGCACGGCTGGAGGTTGGCCTGGTGGCCGGCGGTGGTGTCCCAGGAGCCGGCGTAGTCGTAGGCCATGAGGTTCCAGAAGTCGAGGAGGGGGTCCATGGCGGGGAGGTTGAGCTTTTGGTAGTTCTGGGCGCCGGCGGGGCAGGCGACTGTTAGCTCGAAGTGGTACCACTCTGGCAGCGTCGAGGCGTAGTTGTCCATGGCGGAGCGGACGGCCTGGAGGAGGGCGACGAAGTCGGAGGCTTCGGAGGGGGTTTGGGGGTATTCCCAGTCAATGTCGATGCTGTCATGTTTGTTAGTCGGTTGTATCTCTGAGGAGTGGGAGGGTAGGGATTTTAACGTACCCATCAAAGCCCAGATTCTTGATGAGGTCGACGCAGCTGCGGGCAAAGGTATCGCGGCCCTGGGGCGTGCTGGCGGGGGCCTTGAAGTTGGACGAGTAGGTCCAGCCGCCGACGGACAGGAGGATCTTGAGGTTGCGGTTGCGGCGCTTGAGGAGGTTGAGCTGCTTCATGCAACCGTAGAGGTTTGTCCCGACGTCGTTCCAGCTGTCGCCCTCCCAGTGGATGTCGGTATCGGCCCAGCCGTCGGTGAGGTGGACCTCGCCCGTGTCGGAGCGCACGTTGGCGAAGGCGTAGAGGATGTGGGTGAGGTTCTCGACGGGGAGGTCTTGGGGCCGGTGCTTGCGGGCGTAGATTGCCCTGTGAGCCCAATGATGTTAGTTCCATTATGTCCCAGGAGATGCTCCCAAAGCTGGGAGAACGGCTGATGACGTACCAGTTGACAAAGTAGGCTACCGAGCGAAAGCCTTGCACTGGACCGCCGCCCATTGTGACTGTGGTGTTTGATTGGAAAAAGGGGATAGGTAGGCGTGTAAAGAGGTTCGTGTAGGTGTGTGTCAGGAAGATGGTGGTCAAGAGGACTATGGCAGAGGTAATGAGGGTCGTCGAGCGTGCGAATTGCATACAGGACAGACGAGGTTCGTTGCCAAGATATTGACCGTGAGAGAAAGGAATGTGTATAGACAGCAGGTCGGCAGGAGGGAGGTAAGACGGTTCTTATTGCTGGCTGGAGGTGTTTGTCACTGGTAGGCCAGCTCAGGTTTATGCAAGGTAAGGTGAGGTAGCTCAAGGATAGCGGCAACGGTGATGCAGCTTGTCCCGGGACTTGGAATGAATGGCCCCGCGTTGGACAAATCCAATGGCCCCTGGGTCACAAATACGAGTGCGACACTGCCCCTCCTGGATCCCCTCTATTCCCAGCTGTGCCTGTGCATCCCGGGCTCTGTATGGATGCCGTGGGTGGTTGACCCCAATATGCGGCGCAATGCTGCGCGCTGTTACTGGAGCTTGGAGCTGGATGAGGCGCGAGTTGTCGTCAGCTCCCATAGCTGGCTCCCCTCCTGTGTGGCTTGAGCTGGCAACCTAAACGTCACTCTGGCAGAGCCACGGCTTGTGGCTGGGCAAGGACTAGTCTACATTTGTGCTGCACCTCTATGGCAGCAGGTAATAATAGGTACCTTACTTTACCTTGGTTGGACTCTCGCTTCGCTGAGCAGGCGGATGATCTGCAAGGACAAAGTACGTTATTGCAAAGTGCGACGCTGAAAGACATCTGAGGGTTGCCTCCCATTGTAGCGCGTGTTATGTAAGGTAACGGAACAAGCGAGCTTAGGTAATGGTCTCGCATAGGCCCCCGGCACCTCTTGATTTTCGCATGTGGAGAGCACATGTCTGGGCCGTCCCCTCTCCCCGTTAAGCACCGGCACTTCCGTGCTGTGGTGGGCGGGAATGGGCTGCCAACGGGATGTCGGAGACGGTGACAGACCGCCTGGATCGTCATGGGATGGCCCCAAAGTGCGGGTGGACGGTCCACGACATGGGACGAAAAAGTGTTGAGAGCCCGAGCACCGATGATGATTCTGGACCCTGGCGTAGGGTCTGTTGTTGTTTTGTTTTCAATTTGATAACGGGGTTCGTTGTCAATAGTGTCACTCATGAGATGTACGTTGGAGAGAGTGTGATGTTCCAATGTTAAGCCATCTTCTTTGTCATCAAGTAATTGGTGATGATGAGAATAGTTAGACTACCTTCAGGTGCCGACATGCGTCCTCCAGCCCGTCGCGGACAGCGTGTCGGGGAATTGTTTCCATCAAGTCTCCGATCTCCTACATGTTCCGAATTGAGCGATTGTCGACACTCTGCCAGTGCGGGAAGAACAGCCAATTCGTTTCTTTTTCTTGTCCCCCAGTAGGTAGTAGACCCGTGGATAATTAGGAGAGGTGAACAAAGAAAAGTCTTTCTCTCCCCAGCAACACTCGCATAGGGGGTGATGGAGTACCAAGTGAAATGGACGCAGCTTCCTCCAAGATCCCAACAGGGTGGATCTCCAGAAAAGAACGGAAAAAGACAATACTGCCTTACCTAAGGCGCCAGTTGCAGGTCACCCGCGTATTCTCTGGTGCCGCCATTCGTTGACTCGCCTGGCTGTCACTGCCAGCAATTGCGAACTATTTACTGCAGTACGCGGGATCTCAAGGGTAGACCGGTGCGAATCAACCCCCCCATGTCTGGCCTTAAGGTACTGTAAAATTGATCTTACCCACTCTATCAGAAAATCCGCCTCTGCGCAAGCCACGGGGGAAATTGCTTCACAAGAAAAATCCCCCGACCGCCGCCGCCCCGGCCGTCCGCTACCTATAAACCTTTTTTCCTCCCGACTTTCCGGCCTGCCGCCCTCCTCCCGACTTCTTTTTTCCTACTTCTTCAATTTCGCATGCTCGACAGGTCTTGATCGGCTCTCGTCTTGTCTCCTGCAACGCCTCAATCGCGAAAGGTGCACGCGACATCCTGTCTCTGCCCTGAAGCCCCCTCCTCTTAGTCGTCCTCCTGCTCGGTCAAAACATCTGTAGATCTCCCCCCTTTTTCGACCTCGAACAGACGTACCAGTTTGTCACTACAACAACACACCTCGATCCCACAATTTGCGCGACAATGACTGCCGCCGAATCTCCCATGGCTCAATCTACCGTCCCGGCCTCGGCCGGCAAAGACCAGATCGCGACCCGCCGACGTAGAAAGTCGAGCGTGCGAGGCCACGGCCACGGTCACGACGCCAACGCCCGCCAGCCCTCCAAGCAGGAGCAGCTCGACCGCCTCTCCAAGCGCAGCCGCGCCCGCGCCATCCTCCGCCGCTGCAAGCACATCGCCGTCAAGCACACCTGGACCACGCCCCTCGTCATGGTCCTCGTCTTCCTCTCCCTCTACGCCGTCAACCCCACCGAGTCCAACATCATCCACCACTTCATCTTCCTCTCTTACAAGATCCCTCGGCAAGGTCTCGACGCTGCCGCCGGTGCTGACTCCGACGCGCCCGCGCAGTATGGAAAAGGTCTCTGGGATATCGCCTTTGTCTGCTTCTACGCCACCGTCCTCTCCTTCACCCGCGAGTTCATCATGCAGGAGCTCCTCCGCCCGCTCGCAAAATCCCTCGGCATCCGCTCCCGCGGAAAGCAGCTGCGCTTCATGGAGCAGGCCTACACCGCCGTCTACTTTGGCATCCTCGGTCCCTTTGGGCTGTACGTCATGAGCCGCACGCCCGTCTGGTACTTCAACACCACCGGCATGTATGAGACGTTCCCCCACAAGACCCACGAGGCCGTCGTCAAGTTCTACTACCTGTTCGAGGCGGCCTACTGGGCGCAGCAGGCGCTCGTCATGCTTCTCGGTCTTGAGAAGCCGCGCAAGGATTACTACGAGCTCGTCGCGCACCACTGCGTGACGTTGGCCCTCATCGGCCTGAGCTACCGGTTTCACTTCACCTACATGGGTATCGCTGTCTACTTGACCCACGACATCAGCGACTTTTTCATGGCAGTAGGTTGACTCGCAGACACGTGCAAAACAATCAAAAGCAACGCAACGCAACTGACACATAACCTCCACTCCAGATGTCCAAGACCTTCAACTACGTTGACGCACCCATTACGGGTCCCTGGTACTGCCTATCCCTCGCCTCCTGGATCTACCTCCGCCACTTCATCAACCTCAAGATCCTCTGGTCCATCCTCACCGAGTTCTCCACCGTCGGCCCCTACGAGCTCAACTGGGAGACGCAGCAGTACAAGTGTCTCCTCTCCAAGATCATCACCTTCAGCCTGCTCGGTCTCCTGCAGTCCCTCAACCTCTTCTGGCTCTTCTTCCTCGTGCGCATCGGCTACCGATACGTCTTCCAGGGTGTCGAGCAGGACGACCGCTCCGAGGCCGAGGAGTCTGAGGCTGAGCCCATGGAGACCATTGACGAGGTGTCCAAGATCGACGTCGCGCCCGTGGCGGCTGCTGCCGGCGGGGAGGCTGCGCAGGCTGTTGCGAACGGCGTGGCTAAGGCGGCTGGCGGGGGCGGCATCGCGTCACGAACCAGGAGCCGCCGTGCTGCTTGAGGCGAGTTGCGGTATGCGTTTGAGTTGCTTGGACGATGGTTCAAATTCTTTATGGTTCCCAAGCTACCTGCGTACAATTTTTTGGGGCGAGCATCCTTTTGCTCGGACTTTTGTACATGTATCATATTCTTCATTTTAATAACGCCTAATGTGTAATGACAACAAACATTGATCACCAATTACTTCTCGCATCGCATCCAGAGTGACATTTGTGAATCTCCAAATAACTAAAGAGTCAACTAGAGATAATCAGGCGCGGTGGTGTAAGCCAGGCAGAATGACTCGACGGTACCTATCTGGATTCATGATGTCATTGGACGTTAGACTTTCTTGGGCCAACCCCGCGACAACACCTCCGCTAGATGCCGGAAGCGACGGGGTTGAAGACGATTCCCGCTCCGGTTTAACAGCCTGTTGGAATTTGCTCGGGGGCTCCGGGAGTTGGTTCTGCAGGTTCGGGAGGGATGCTCACAGAGCCTGCCACGGGAGAGCGAATGAGAAGGAGGTCATGTGGTGAAATTGGTGGTGGATTTGATTTGGTAGAGGTGGTGGTGTAAGGTAGGGTGCTTGAGGTGTTTTTTGGTGGCATGTGATTGGTATGATGATAAGCTGGCGCTATAGCATTCGATGGGATTGATTAGGTACTTGATAGGAAGCTGGATGAGAGACTGGATGGACGAGATAGAAACAGATGAATCGACTGAGTGGTTTACTTGAACTGGACGATTGGTTAAACGTTCCACATGAATGCTCTCAAGGTTGATAGTTAAGAATTTCACACGTTCTCTGAGACAACTTCGTTGTTCAAATTGGAACAACGTTCCAATTGTCATGAAAATTCACAACTCCACAACCGCATGGCGGATAGAAACTTTCAACCATTCAAATTGAGCACAGAGTCTTGGAGAATTATTTTAGGACTTTTGGTTCATTGGAAAAAGTCTCAATTGGGGTCATGCTGAGCTATTCGTAGAATTCTCGAGGTTGAGACTAACAACCATGGAAGCACTAGAGTCTAGCCGCTCACTTTGCTGGATGCAACACACATACATACAGATGTTGATACTCTGTGAGTGCTAATGGGTATAGATCAAATAGTGAACGTACGCAGACAAGTCCCATGAAATGATTGCATCCTCATGTGAAGATATGATAGGGTGACTCTACTGCCGCTCTCTCCCGTTCACCACTGAGCAACATCAACTATTGAGCCACACCAGCAGCCCGGAGCCCAGCCACAGATGGTGCCCCACCATCGGCTGCCGGCGTCGTCTCATGCCGGAGGTCATCCACGTGACCCTCCCACCACCCACACCAACGAGACGCTTGGCCCGAGCGTCAGCATTGGAGCTCCAGAAAAATTTCCAATTGACACCAGTGGGGGGAAAGGAAAAATTGAAGAAAAAAAATCCGACCTTTGGATACTTTTTTTCGACCTCTCTTTTTTTTTGACCAGCGCTGTCGACTCGCCTCTGCCCACCCACAATAACTTCCGCGAGGCTTGATTGTCCGGTCCCCCCCCTCCCGCGCCAACGAACATCAAGACCAGAGAGAGAAAAAGAGACAGGTTTCCAAAATGGCTGCGATCAACTACCTCCTCTACGAGGCCCCCATGGGCTACGGTGTGTTCCAGATCGAGCACCAGCCCGACAGCATTGGCCTGCGCCAGAAGGAGGCTCAGGAGACCATTGCCGACCTCTCCAAGTTTGGCAAGATGGTCAAGCTGGTCAACTTCACTCCCTTTGAGTACGACTTCCCCAATTTCGCGAATTGAGTGCAGTAGTGGTATTGGTGGTAGCTGAAGGCTGGAGGCTGGAGGCCGCGCGACGGAGGGGTTTTCTTGGAAGCGCGTCTTGGATCCGGAACGACAGTATTGGAGTCAACAGTGAAGAACACATTGCTGACACATCTTTCTCACACAGCACCGGAAAGCAGGCACTTGACGAGATCAACCACATCTCCGAGGGTCTCATGTCCGACCACCTCAAGTCCGTCCTCGAGCTCAACCTCCCCCAGACGAGCGGCAAGAAGAGCAAAATCACCATCGCCGTGGCCGAGAAGAACCTGGCCTCCGTGATCAAGAGCACCTTCTCCGGCATCGACTGCGAGACCTCTGAGACCTCCGAGGTCGCCGGCGACCTCCTCCGCGGCGTCCGCCTGCACGCCGACCGCCTCCTCAAGGGCCTGCAGACGGGCGACTCGACCGCCGCCGGCCTCGGTCTCGGCCACTCATACTCGCGCGCAAAGGTCAAGTTCAGCACCACCAAGAACGACAACCACGTCATCCAGGCCAGCGCCACCGTCGAGTTCCAGGACAAGGGCGTCAACCAGTTCTTCATGCGCGTGCGCGAGTGGTACGGCTGGCACTTCCCCGAGCTCGTCAAGATCGAGTCGGACAACCTCACCTACGCCAAGCTCGTCCTCGCCATCGGCGACAAGGCCACCCTCACCGACGACCGCCTCCACGACATCGCCGCCCTCGTCGAGGAGGACGGCGAAAAGGCCCAGGCCATCATCGACGCCGCAAAGGTCTCCATGGGTCTCTCCATCACCCCCGCCGATCTCGAGATCGTCAAGGGCTTCGCCGAGGCCGTCGTCGCGCAGGCCGAGGCCCGCCGCTCGACCGCAAACTACCTCGACAAGAAGATGTCCATCGTCGCGCCCAACCTGCAGACCCTCATCGGCACCCCGGTCGCCGCCAAGCTCATCTCCCACGCCGGCTCCCTGACCAACCTGTCAAAGTACCCGGCCTCGACCCTGCAGATCCTCGGCGCCGAGAAGGCCCTCTTCCGCGCCCTCAAGACCAAGAGCAACACCCCCAAGTACGGCCTCATCTACCACAGCAGCTTCATCGGCAAGGCCGCCGTCAAGAACAAGGGTCGCATCTCCCGCTACCTCGCCAACAAGTGCTCCATTGCCAGCCGTATCGACAACTACACCGAGAACCCCAACACCAAGTTCGGTGAGGCCCTCCGCCAGCAGGTCGAGGACCGTCTCGAGTTCTACGCCACCGGCAAGAAGCCCGCCAAGAACTCCGACGTCATGGTAAGTCACTCACATCCGCATTCTTTCCCTATATGCATCTCCCTGGATCAGTATGCTAACATATCCAAAAGGCCTCCGTCCTGGAGCAAGTCGAGGGCGACCTCACGCTCGACGACGCGGAAATGGTCGATGCCGTCGCCGAGGACGTCAAGAAGGAGAAGAAGGAGAAGAAGGAAAAGTCCAAGGACAAGAAGGAAAAGAAGGAGAAGAAGCGTAAGCGCGAGTCCGAGGTCGGCGCCGCCGAGCCCGAAAAGGCAGACGGCGAAAAGAAGAAGAAGAAGAAGTCCAAGTCCAAGGATGAGTAAAGAAGACAACGTTGTTTCTGTACAACCTCCTCTTCTTTGCACATACCCCCATCTACCCCAACCTTGTTCCAAAAACTCTTCTGGCTCTTTTTTTAACGTAGGTCTGGCGGCAAGTACCTTAGGCATCATTCCCGGCTCTTCTCTCTCATCTTGTTATCTACAACCTTGTGGCTTTTTTCCTGTTCTGTTTTTTTTTTCTTGGGAGTTTTATGGGGGGGAAATGAGAGAAAAACCGGGCTTATTTGAACGGAGTTTTTGGGCTTTGAAAAAATGTTAATGCATCATTCTACAATATGTGTGTATGTACAGTTGAAAGAACAACCGAACCCATACCCCCAGAAACCGTCCGCCCTCCTTTTGTATCCTGTGATGATTGATAAGTGACAATGATGAGTGATCGCCGCGCCGTGAGAGTCCATGATTGTATTGTCTCGGCCTTGGCCTGGCTCACCAAATGGCTAGTCCACTAGGTAGAGACCCATATTTTCTCCAGACCACAAGCATCAAGCGGTCACTTCCTCTCCCCAAAGATCAAAGCTTGAGTCTCATGTTCTTTATGGTAGGCCAACTTTTTAAATTGTACGCTGTATCGGAGAAGGGGGGCAGAACAGAGGTTGCAATGCAGTAGAAACTAAAAAGGGAACAATAGACAAAAAAGAAGTAATACGTTTGATATTTCCCCCAACCCAAAATGCCGGCCGTTTCAACGCCAGAGGACGCCCCCAACTCTCGACCACAGCCCACCCACCCCCCGTGTACACCGCCCATACCATCCCAGATAGTTTCTGTTTCTTTCCATTCTTTCGTTGTCATTTTAAATAGTTTCCAGAGGTCTTTTTGTTCTTTGGAAACAAACACTACTCCGTCAACACTAAAGAGGTCCAGTCCAGCTCATGCGCCCTCGCTACCAAACTCGTTTGTCCACTCTATTTGCTTGGCGGCGTCGTCGTCAGAAACGGTGGGATGCGAGTCCCTAAGGGCCTGCTTGAAGTCCTTGAGCTCGATGATGGGCGCCATCAGCTCCTCCGAGTCGACGTCGTGGTACGTCATCTCCTTGGCTTGGGGGTCGCCAGGCGAGCAAGGTGTCAGCTTCTTCTGACCCTCGTGAACAACCTAAACATAGTTAGCATCATTTCGTCCATAATGTATGACAGAATCCAAGGCAGCATACCGGCTTGAAGTGTGTGGCTTGGATAATCTTGCGAACGGGCCCCATCAAAGCCTGCTGCACCACGTTGGCGATATCACTGCCAGAGAAACCCTCCGACAGCTCAGCCAGGACGCGGTAGTCGTCCGCCTGGAGGTGCGTTTCCGTGTCGCCGACGGCCAGCTTGAACATGCGCGCGCGGCCGTTGACGTCGGGGAGACCAATGTGCACGCGGCGCTGGAAACGTCTGCGGATGGCGGCGTCGAGCTGCCAGGGGATGTTGGTCGCGCCCAGGACCAGGATGCCCTTGCTGTCGTTTCCGACACCGTCCATCTGCACGAGCAGCTCCGTCTTGATACGTCTTGACGCCTCGGACTCGCCTTCGCCGCGGGGTCCGCAGAGGGCGTCGATTTCGTCAATGAAGAGGACTGAGGGCTTGTTTTCTCTCGCCATGCTGAAGAGGGCCTTGACGAGCCTGTTTCATGATGTTAGCGTATTGCTTGCGTGTTTGCGCAACCGATAATCAACTGACCTCTCACTCTCTCCCATCCACTTGCTCACGAGATCGGAACTGCTGACACTGAAGAATGTGCTGTTTGCCTCCGTCGCGACCGCCTTGGCCAGATAACTCTTACCCGTTCCAGGCGGGCCATAAAGGAGAATGCCCTTCCACGCCTGACGCTTGCCCTGGAACAATGACGGGAACTTGATGGGCAGCACGACAGCCTCCTTTAGCGTGTCTTTGGCACCCTCGAGACCGGCGACGTCGTCCCACCGCACATTAGGTCGCTCTTGCAAAATGGCACCGCTAAGGGCATTGCGCAGCTTCTTGTTGTCCTCGTCGCCGTCGTCGGCGCTCCCCTTGCCCTTGCCGCCGCCATTAACGCCCACGGCCCCGGGTTTGTTCCCGCCCCCGCCGCTCTTTTTACTCTCTGCTTCGTTAAGGTATGTTTTAAGCTTCTCGGCGCGGTCCATGTACTCGGCCGTCTTCTGTCGGATGAGTTCCTTTGACTTTGGGTTCTTCTCCCACTTGACGGCGAGGACGAAGAGCTCAAGCGACTTTGTGTATAGTTGAAAGGCCTTGTCATACTCGGCGGCGTTGTCGGCGTCGATGGCCTGCTTGACCGTGCTGATGGCACGGCCGAGGAAGTCGGTGATTCCCGACATTGTTGGCTGTGGGTTGACTTTTGCCTCTCGAGGAGCTCGACGATTAAGCGGCGTGGAAGAGGTAGGATTTCGTGACGAGGTGGAAAGAGCGGGGAAAGCTCTCTCGGTATGAACGTCGTTCTGTTCGTCAGCGTCTTTGGCTAATCGCTTCGGGATCGGACGTCGAAGGATGGAAGAATCGATGGGGTCCCGAGGAGGTCGTCGGTGCCTGGCGCAAACGGGTGGCGGGCTGGAAGTTTGAATGGGCGAGGAACCTTGAGGAAGCACTTGCGGGCGTGGATTCTGTGACGTTGCCTGGGCAGTTCGTGATGGACCGCTGCGCTAATCGGGGTGCCTTGGGCAGGTGGTGGGGGGTGGGGGACTTGTCTGGGTTACTTGAAAGTGTCTGTGTAGATGCATTGACTGCATACATGCATAGCGTGCTGATGACCTCCAGTATCAGGCTAGGCGGCCAAATGTGACATAGCGTACAGCCTGACAGCTCAGAGAAAATGAGATTATATTACTTAAAGTCTCGATTCAAAACAGATGATCTTTGGATTCACCAAAAAAGCAAGTTTTTCGCATCTTCCGAGACCGACTTCCCGCCGAGGCCCGTATATTTGCCAAGTGGGTTGCTTCATATTCGACTAAACGGTAACCCGATTGTCTGTCACCACTGCACCGAATGCTGAGTCGAGGTACCAAGTATCTTCTCGCAGGCCACCGCCCAAAAGTCGAAACAAAACGAAGTATTTCTCAGAGCCTTGGCATCTCGGCGGCGTCTGATTCACAAAATCATCTCATACCAGAACCGTTAGACCGATCTGCGGCATTGTTTCCGACGTTTTTCGCACCGTCTAGCTCTCTGATTTCCATTTTTCACACTCACCTTTAGTGAACCCCTCATACTCATAATCATACCCCAACCATGGCTGAGGTGCAAGCAAAACTGCAAAAGCTGTCGGAGGAATACCAGGCACTGCAACAGGGTACGTGATCGGAAACAGGTAACCCGTGACGGGATATATTTACTCACGTCTCATTAGAACTTCAGACCACCGTCCAGTCGAGGCAAAAGTTGGAGGCTCAGAGGCAGGAGAACCTTGGCGTAAAAGAGGTAGGCGAGCCTTAGGAACTGACGTTCACGACCACAAGGCTGACATATTTTTCAGGAGTTTGACAAGCTCAAGGATGGCGAGCAGATCTACAAGTTGGTCGGCCCCGTGTTGCTGAAGCAGGATAAGGTCGAGGCCGAGAGCACGGTCAAGGGCCGTCTAGACTTCATTACCAAGGAGATGTACGTACACTACAGTCCATTGTTGTCCAGCAGACTTTACTTACTAACATCCATCAGTGAGAGACATGAAGGTTTGATCAGAGACGCCCAGGGCAAGCTGGAGAAGAAGAAGGGCGACATCATCCAGATCCAGACCAGCGCACAAGCTGCGGCGAGTCAGGCGCAGAAGGCATGATGCCGGCGACAGCGACAGCAACAGTGGATGAATGGGATCAGAAAAAGAAAAAAGCACACAAAATGAAGGTCTGATGAGAGTGGTGATACAATTAAAAAGCTACTAGGACTATGAACTATACCCAGCAATGCTCCGATGAGATTCCTTTATAAAAACGCCATGCTAATGCGTCCCTATCCCGGCGGCAATACCCTCGCCACACAAGACCCCAAAAAATTTCATTATAACAGTCATGATCATCTGCACCATCCTATCCTTCTAGTTGAGGGCCATGATGGAGAAGCCCCACGGCAAACCCATGTTGCGCGCGGGCAACTCGGTCGCCCAGCCAATGGCGTTCTGGTACTCGTCCTCGGACGTAAACTCCGCGTCGTTGACCTTGCCCTCGACGGCGCCCATGATGAGGTCGGCGATCTGGCTCGTCGTGTAGCAGCGCCCAAAGATGCGGCTCTCCTCAATGGTGCGAATCATGGCGGAGCGGAGCTCGCAGTCTGCGAAGCGCTGGACCTCGCGGTCGAAGCTGGCCTGCGTGACGGGGCCTTGGTGATGCGCGGCGAGTTTCTGGAAGAAGGCGACCATGCCGGCGATGGCCTGGGCGAGCATGTGCGCTTTTGTGGCGTCGTCGAGGTAGCTGGCCATGGAGGAGGAGTGCTGCTCGATGAGGCCGTGAACGTCGTGGTCAAAGGTTGCGTGGACGACCTTGGAGATGCTGTCTGGGGTGGAGAGGATGCCCTCTGCGTCTTGGATGTTGAAGGTCTTTGCGATTTCGGCGTAGCATTGGGAGAGGGTTGTCCAGAGAGAGACGTTGTTTTGGACCGAGGCCTTGCCCATGCTTAGTGTGAAGTGGGACATGGTGCTGTCGATGCTTTCTGGACGAATTGTTAGTTTGCTGATAGGATTTTGTGTTGAGCAGGGCGGCTTACTTCTGCAAGTGGTGGAAGACATGGTGGCGGTGATGTATGTGAGGTCTCACGATGATTTGGTGATGGGCTCGTAGATGGGGTAGATGGATGTAACAATGGTATTGTGATGAAGATGGATGAAGATAATCAAGCAGATCTAAGAAATCTCAACATCAACAAAGGCGGAAAACTTCTCCTTTAATCTCGACTGGATTGTAGCCTTGTGGCCTCATCGGGAGATTCTTCCATGTACAGCTAGGATGGCTCAGATGGTGGCCATCCCTGAATCTGCCATGGCCGGACGGACGAACACATGGCAAGGACTAGTCGACATTGGGTCCCCAGTCTTTGCGGGAGATGCCCGGCGGCGACCCCCATTGGCATCAACACTTGCGAATTGCAAAAGCAAGGCGGGAGAGAAAAACAGGAGCTCGAGTGCGGTCATGTCCTCCACATTCCCGTAAGAACATCAAGCCATCTCGCCGTCAGATTTGGGCTTGATGGCAAGATGCGATAGCTGATAACCTGACAACTCGGCACCGCCACGGCCGCAACTTGAGACAGTGGGAAACGTGGGACAAGTACTACCGTGAGTGATCAGGAACATGGTCTTGAACATACAGTCTCCAGACCGCCAAAGATCTATTTCAGTTTGGCTGGCTCCCTCGCTCACCGGCGACCAGCGGAAAGGAAGAAAGCGTGGGGGGCAAGCCGTTCATTCGACTCAAGCAACGGGAAAGAAAACATGCACGTCAGGGAACATGCGACCCGGTTCAAGCAGGCGGTGGAAGCAGTCGAGCATGGTGCCATGTTGAGACCCGAGCCGCAAGAGGATCAATGCGGATGGAACCAGGGAACGGCTTCACCGGCCCGCCTGGGCGCAATTCGGGTTGCTTTGGTTTCCCAGGTTGCCAGCCTGGCTGGATAATTACCTTATTCGTGGTAAAGCTGAGTGGTTGGCGAAAAAGTAGTATGAAAAATTGGGCGCGTTCCGACATTTCCCGATCTTGGAATGAGGCGAGCGTCTGGCCCCCTTCAACCTTGCTTGTCGGTGTCCGTTGGGTTGGCGGGCAAACGAGAGAGCTCTCGTAAATCGAACGGAAATACGGGCGAGATGACGTCTGAGTGCGTGTGTATGTGGTAGCTCGATGAGGCTCTGATGCTTGAAATTTTCATTGCATCGTGGCAATGCGATGGATCATGGAAAACTTCGAAATTCTGTCCATCTCGAAATCCCAGTTCAACTCAGTGACATTCATTCTAGAAGTGGATCCGAGACAATGGTCCGGATCCTCCCGCAAATGACAGCTCAACAAAGCGTGGATCTCGCTATTCCTCACCGTCGACTACTTCTGTAAACCTAGATCGGTGAGATCGATGATGTAAGCAAATCTCGGTGTAGCATCAGTCACGTGCGTGAAGCTCTGTCCACGTGATGCACTCTCGAACGGGGCCCGAGCTCTCTCCCGTGCCCCTCCATTTGGTGCGGACCTTGTCGGTTTCCCCCCATCCATGGCGGGGTGCTGCTGGGCGTGTGCTTCAGGCTTCAGGCTTCAGCCACGAGTGGCTCCTCTAGCGCTTCGTCATACGGTCCCTGGGACGAAACTCGCAAGACGTCTTTACCAAACGTTCGACCGCATGCTACCTCAAGGCTGCCACGCTTGGCCTTTTGTTCTGAGAAACATGCCAACATCTCCCTGAACGGTGTTTGTCACCATCAGCGACCGAATATCCAACGAGACACCCCCGAGCTTGAACCACAATACACAGCGAAAGCCGGACTGGAGAGCTCCAACTCCTCCGACACCACCAAGATGAACGGCCCTTCGAGTCCCAGGCCCGCGCGGCCTATGAGCATCAAGGAGATTACCCTAGCAGCAGAAGATTTCGACTTTAGAACTACAATTCCCTTCAAGTACTGGGCGCGATCTGCAGATACCTTGTTTCAAGAGGTTTGTGCCCCATTTCAGGTTGTTCGTTTGCCTGCGCAACACCAGCTGATGACCATACGATCTAGGCAACCTTTGCGCTCCAAGATCGCGACATACGAAAAGCATACCAGATGCTATGGCGACACTCGATACTAGTCCTTACTCACCTGAAAACACATCCCGATGCCAAGTTACCCGAAAACAAGGCGCTCACAAAGCCGCTATTCGATCGCCAGAATAAGGAGGTATTCGGGCTGCTGGAGGAATTGAAGCCGCAAATCGATCGCGATTACAAGGAATGGCAGTTGATGAGTGCTTCGAAGCAGAGAGAAGATGACGAATTCACCACCAGACCCACAAGCTACAACGAGTTCGCTGCCCGAGACCCGACCTTATCCGGAAACGCCAAGATCCTCGATGCTGCCGATAACCAGGAGCTTGCAGTCTCTTTGGCGCAACGAGACTACAAGAGGCGAGATGCTGCAAGGAGAGCGACGCGGCAGGCCGGCGTGAGCGCCGAAGAAGAGCAGGAGCGCAGGAAGGGTGGTCGCTGGGAGGACTGGGAGCAGTTTAGCAGCCCAGCGACGGCTGCCTCAGAGGAGGAAGATATAAGGAGACAAATTGAAGCAACTCGGCGCCGACTCGATGGAACCGACGGAGGAAGAGACGAAGATACCTTCAGCAGCTCGCAAGTTTCAAATTACCAAGGCCAGGTACCCCCACCGAGAGCTCCTCCCAGCTACTCATACAACTACCCGTCTATATCACGACCAAGGGCGCTGGAGTGGGAGGCATCGCCGTTGGAGCCGCAGCGCGCTTACACGCCGCCACCGCCGCAGCCACCGAAGCCGCCAAAGGAGGACTTCACGATGATGCGCCAGGAGCTCGATGCGGCACCTCCTATGCGGCCGAGCAAGGAGCCATTAACGTCGTATAGGCCACCGTCAACAGCCAATGCGCTACAAGGAGGCGTTCCGGAGTTGCCAGCCAAGGAGGAGGTGATGCCACCGGCGGCAAAGGAGCGGCTAGCCTTCAAGCCGGCAGCGTACCTGGAGAATGGCGATCCTATCCGACCTGTGTTCCTCCCAACACAGCTCAGGGATACCTTCCTCAACATTGCATCTGAGAATACTCGCAGAGGCCTCGAAATGTGCGGTATCCTCTGTGGACGACCCGTTAACAACGCACTGTTCATCAGCTGCCTTCTTATCCCCGAACAAAAGTGCACACCGGATACGTGCGAAACGGAAAACGAATCATCAATGCTGGATTACTGCATCAATGAGGATCTTTTGGTCGTGGGCTGGATTCATACGCATCCCACGCAGACGTGCTTCATGAGCTCGCGAGACCTGCATACGCAGGCTGGATACCAGGTAATGATGCCAGAGAGTATCGCCATTGTGTGTTCTCCAAGGCATTCTCCATCGTAAGTAGCATCTGTTTCTTCGTACACACAACAACGGCTAACACAGCATCAGATATGGCATCTTCCGCCTCACAAACCCGCCAGGACTGCCTCATATTCTGCAGTGCACGGCATCGGAAACCTTTCATCAACACTCCATCGATAACTTGTATACTGGAGCGAAGAACCCGCCCGGTCATGTTTACCACTCGGAGAAGCTTGACTTTTACGTGAAGGACTTGCGACCGAAGAGGTAAAGGAGGAGATCGGGACATTTGCCTTGGTGTTGAATTAGAGAGCTACAAGCCCGTTCAGCTCAGGGCGGTCGGCATAATTGATGAGCTGCTGCCACTGTTGATGACGTATCAATAGCGAGAGAGAGAGAGAGAGAGAGAGAGAGATGAAGCAACGCCGTTCCGGTCTGCAGCTCAAGTATGGGTTCCGGGCCATCTTTTGATTTGGTGCATGGCGAGGGCGTTGGACAGCTGATAGCTGTGGGTGCGGGAATGCTCATCGAGCAACTCAGCTGGAACGAATGACATTGTCGGGACTTCGCGGACTGTACAATACAGAGGCATACGGCAGTACTGTTGAACAAATGTCGCGTCTCAATGCGAGGAGCACGGCTGGACGTGTCTCATCCGAGCTCTCAAGGCCCAGACCGCGGGCCATCTAACCTCAGATACCTAGCCGAGAGGGAGAGTAGTATGAGCCTTTATCTCATGAACACCTTGCTTACTATGTAGGGGCTGGGGCAAGCAAGCCCTCTCTCAGAGTTTCGCAAGAGATGACTGAAATGAAATTCCAAATTAGGCCAGAGCGCTGTGTCCTGCATTGTCCGTCCCATGATTTTGATCGTGTCCCCGTCGTGAACTCACCTCCACCACAGCCCCCCCCGGAGAACTTGGGCCGGGTGTCGTACGTAGCTCGGCGAACCATGACGTCACTGCCGCGGTCTAGCGACTTGTTGCTACATGTGAGCTAAGGAACTCACTCTCATTCTTCATATAAACAACAACGATTCCCTGCGTACCATATCGTCACGAGAGGAGAATATCCCAAAAGAAATAAAGCAACCAAACCACGACGTCGAAAAGAGAGATATATCAATAAGCGAATCCAAAATGGCGTTCCCGACAAACATGCTGGGCATCCTCATCGCCCTCGTCAGCGCGTTTGCCCTCGTGCATTCGGCGGACTCGATCCCCAGGCTTCTCAAGTACGAAGACAAAGCGAAGAAGGCGGCGGAATGGAGCAGGACGGCGGAGAAACAACTGTGGGAGATAAGATATACCGTCGGAACAGGCTTCGTTGGCGTACGTTCCGCCCCCTCTCTCACATCACTTCTCGCCTTCCCACTCACACACTCACACTCACTCTCACACTCACTTTTACTCTCACTCTCACTCTCACTCTCACTCTCACTCCCACTCTCACTCTCACTTAAAACCATGATATACTGACACCACATCTCCCACAGTGCCTTGTCTCCGCCATCAGCGGCATCGCCTTCTCCCTCGTGGTGCCCCGCGGCCTGGGCATCTTCACCGTCGGCTTCCCCATCATGCTCGCCGCGGGCCTGACCTACGGACACCAGTACATGCGTCAGTTTTGGGCCTCGAAGCCCAAGGTGCCGATGATGAAGGACTTCAACGAGGCGATTTCGGACTCGATGATGGTGCAGGATATGATGAACCCCTTGGCTGGCGCGTGGGGTCTCATGACGTTTTGCAAGCTTGTGGGGTTGTAGACGGACTATGCTCCGTTTCTCACGGGATGAGTTTGGATGCACAGCGCTGGATTGTTGTAGTGTAGACCAGTTTGGGTCCTTAGCATAAAGCATCGCACAACGGCGTCTTGACTCGTTCAACATCTATCATCGTCTGCATCACGCCCTCGCATCCCTCCTCATATAAACCCACGAATACCGCCCCCAAAACTCCTCACTCCCCGTGACACCCGCCAACTTCCCACCAGGCTTCACCCCGCCCGCAAACTCATCCAACTCCGCCTCTAACCTACCCACCTCGCGGAACCCCTGCCTCTCAAACGCCTTCTGCCCGCCCATGGACGATTGAACCCAGCAGTACACCCCCGGCTCGCGATCCGCCTTTTCGGTGCCCCACTTCATCAGCGATGAGCCGATGCCGCGGCCCTGGTGATCCGGGTGGACGACGTAGGTGCACAGGAACCTGCACTTGCAGCCGTCGGGCATGAAGCGCTTGACCCAGTGGTTCATTGATGCGTTTGTTAGTTCGCCGAGGTCGTCTATCGTTTTCTGCTTATGCTCCGATTCCGTGAAGAATGTTGCGGGCCGGGGTTCCTCATCCGGCCCGTCGAGGGGGAGGTCAGTGTCGCCCGCGAACCCGCGTCTCACCCACCCGACCCATCCCACAGGTCCGCCGCTCGTCGCGTCTTCGGCGACAAGGACGTCGACTTTGGGGTGCCCGATCCAGGCTTTCAGCGCGTCTTGCATGCCCTTGGGGAAATCGTCGTCCCCGCGGATGGAGGCTTTGAGCTGGGTGTGTGAGTCTGCTTTGCAGGCTGCGTCGGAGATGGATGCGAGGGCGGGGATGTCGGCTTGTGTTGCGGGGCGGAGGGTTACGGTGGCTTTGGCGGGACGGGAGGCCGCTGCTGTGGTCAGTGCCGTGGCGGTTGCCGGTGCCGGTGCGGCGGAGGTGGTGGATGAGGAGGATGCCATGGCTTTGCAGGAGCTTGGCGCTGGGGATCGGGCGATGGGATGAATGACGGACACCGGGTGCGGGGACTTGAAGGGCTTGGCACGGGGTGAGGATGTTGTAAAGGGGGGGGGGATGATGGACGGGGAGGGCCGGTCGAGGTGCTTTATTTTGCTTGGGTTTGGGACTTTGGCTTTACTTTGATGGGTTTGCTGCATGCTGGGCAATCCCCGAGTAAGCTGACCGGGTGACTCAATCGGGGAAAGAGAGCCGGCATTCCCGATACGGATGGTGCAAGACGGAGCGCATCGGACTTTTGAGCCGGTGCATCTTTTACCTGGCTGTAATAGGAAGGACGAATGATTTTGCTGCACATGGTTTCTCAGATTACCATCAAGTAGAACGAAAGATCTTTGGTACCCTAGAACAATAATGAACCATCGACCCACTTACACCAAACCAACTGCACCAACACAAACCTGACAAATGGGCACTCACCGCATTCTTTGCTAATCTCGAAATGCCTCTGGTCTATCCATGAATTTTGAATGATTTATGACGAGGCTAAGACTATGTACTCAACACGTGAGGATATCAAGGCTGCTGTTGATGCGTATCGCGCACACATAGCTGGACGTAATCGCCGAGCCCTTGCAGTGTATGGTGCGTTTACATGAAGGACAATTTTTGTGACTTGAGACTGATGTAAAATATCTAGTGCAACTCGCCACGCAGGGTGAGCTCGACCCGGAAGACTGGGGAGATGAAGCCGAAGACATGAGGGTAGACTGTTTTGGGAGCGTACTGGGTCGGAATGATGCCCGGACCTTAATATCGAGTCCAGAGGATATGCTTACCAAGTTCGATGAACTCGCACCGCTTTGCGATCTTGACGGCTGTGGAGGACCTATTCCGACCAGCCATGACCGAGAGTTGTATTTCTCCCGTCTAGAGACCGCTTTGAAGGCAAAATGTCTCGAGGAAGTTCGCGGTAGCATCACTGCTCCTCCTGAGCTTCGAATTCTTGCCGAGTACGTGGGTGCGTTGACCGGACCCGGGATGGGAGAGACCAAGTGGACGTACCAGGCCGTGTTCTGGACCGGGGCGAGCCCTCAAACGGAATGTCTGATCGATGCTACGGTCAAGAGACCCCAGGAGCTTTCAGTTGATAGTTGTTGGGATGTCGCTGCGGGATGGGAATCTGGGGACGGCGTTGAGAGTTTCTTTTACATAGTCCACTGCCGAAGAAATCGGCCCGACGGGGAAGTTGAGCCATGGGAATGGCGGTACATGGCTTACGGCCCGGACGACAGCAAAACCTTTGATACGATCCCGGAGTTGCTCGAGTGGTATAGTCGATATCGGGAAGGAGAGGTGCCTAATATTGATGACTTAAGCGTGGACGATGTACTAGAAGGAAACATGTACTAGCTGGAATACACTCTCTATCCTAGATCCAGCCTCTACGGTTTAGATATGCTTTGTTACAAGCCGCCAACGACAGATTCTATCGACCTGCAGGAACCTTTTTGGCTTTTACAGCATCGGGGCTCTCATCGGGCGTGACTTGTTAAAGGCCTGAGGCGTCATTTCCGAAGGGGCGGATGTCATTGGGTAACCCAGCACTACCTTGGATCTTGATCCAGATACCATCGTCACAACCAAACAGCGTATTCGGGTTTATGAAGCAATCGACGACCTACTCTATTTGTCAGTCTTGGATGTCCGAAGGCTCTATCGGAAATTGTCTATTTGAAATCTCGATGATGTACCAGGTTGATCGAGGTGTGAATGATGGAAGGGAGACATTTGCATGGTATACGGAGATGTGATGTAAGGGGTTCAAGGAATAGTCTGTAGATCATGTCGCGCTGGAGAAATGACCGTTGATAATGTGGGGAACTCCGTTTCTGTGTTGTCTCCTTTGGGAAACTGTCATATTTTTGGCTACAGTATCACAAGCAGCTGAAGCGCAGCTTCCCTCGGCAAGAGGCTCATTGGTCACTACAGGGGGCTAGAACTCAGTGATGTGCCGCGAACTAATGGCATGAGCTTCTTCATCAGCCTACAACCAACTTCGTCATGAAATCAGCTCAGATGATATGATCATCACGAAAAGCCTTGCTGGATAACGAAGTTAGACATTGTGGTATCATCTGTTGATGGAAATTGTCTCAAAGATTTGTGTATGGCGACAACTCTCAAAGCAGGAAGTTGGCATGGCCAACTTGGCCATGCCAGCCTCTACGCAAACGGACGGACTTACACGTAACCAAAGTCTTGATAGACCTGTAGAGCCGGCTTCTCCAATTCCTGACGTGATTGGATTCTTCAAACTAGGAAAAATTTCGAACAACTCTTTCGCCAAACGTCTCCCGATCCTCAGGCGAAACTGGAAGCATCGTCATTTAAACGGATACTGGTTGCAACTTGAATCATTTTGATACAGTGGCGACAACATCGACCAAATTCGAGCTTCAAAATCCGCAAGAGACAAAC